GAGGCGGCCTCAGGCAGGGCCGACAAGCAGGGCAGGACAGGCGAGACGGGCTTGGGTGTGCGGCCAGCAGGAGGTGCCGCAGGCAGGGCAGGCACCTCGGCGGGCGTGGGTGCAGGCGGAGGCGGCGCCGGGACCTCAGACGCAGCCACCACCAGCACGTGGCCAACAGGGGGCGCCGCAGCAGGCACCACCAGCACGTGGCCAGCAGGGGGCGCCTCAGCAGGTACCTCCATCGTGCGGCTAGCAGGGGGCGCCTCGGCGGGCACCTCAGGCGTGCGGCCAGCAGGGGGCGCCACCACGCGGCCAGCAGGGGGTGCAACCGCGGCAACCTCGGGCAGTTCAGGCGCCAGCAGGACAGGCGAGACAGGCAGATCAGGCGCTGGCAGGACAGGCGGGTCAGGCTGTGCCGCGGGCAGTGCGGCGGCAGCAGCAGCAGGCGATGCTGCTGGCAAATCTGGATCAGACAGTTCCGGAGCAGGCAGGAGGGGTGCCGAGCGTGTTGGCGCTGCCCCTTTAAGGGCTCTCGGGACCCGGGGAATGCCGTCCCGCACAGTGCGTATTCCCCCTTGTCCCAGGCGCGCCAGCCGGTAATTATACGCCTCCAATGGAGGCGGCTTCACCTCAACCCGAGGCTTACCGGCAGGGCTGAGTGGGTAGGCGGCAGCGGTGTCCTCCCAGGCGGGGAAAAGCGAGCAGGTGCCCAGGTAGAGCGGCGAGGTCTCCTCCCCTCGACTCCGGGGCTTTCTCCGTCTCCCCGCGTTGCTTGCGGTGGACAGCAGAGCTGCTTCCGGCACGTCGCCCTGATGTTCGGCAACGCGCCCCGCTCTTCCCGCTGCGGGCCGGAGCTGTAGGCGGCGGAGGCATTTACATGCCCTCTGCAGCGGGTACTGTTGTCCGGACGGGCGTTCTTCTGCCAGGAGGTCCGCGCCCCGCTGGGCCAGCTGAATTGCCTGTCTCGCCTGTCCTGCCGGCACCTGAACTGCCTGTCTCGCCTGTCCTGCCGCGGCCCTGCCTGAGGCCGCTCCTCCCATCCTGCCCGGCCCGCCTGAGGCCACGCCCGCAGCTCCAGCTGCACCGCCCGCGGCTCCGGCTGCATCACCTGCAGCCACACCGCTTGCTCTGCCCGAGCCTACACCCTCGGGCACCTCCCTACCTGACTCCCTCGCCCTTGCCCCGACAAGGCCAACACCACCCGGGACCCCGCCTTTCAGTGTCCCGTAAGGGAAGAGGACACAGGCGTCGGGTCCGGGTCCCGCCCTCCCTGCCCCCTGGCTCGCCCGTTCGGCCCCTGGCTGTGGCTCGGTGGCTGCCTGCGGGTCCTCCGGCTCGGGGTCGGCGGTCGCCGCCGGGTCCCCCCCTGGTTCCGCGGTGCCGGTCCTCGGTCCCTCCTCCGGCTCCATGTCGGTCGCCTCCGGGCCCCCCTGCTCCGACTGGGC